TTTTTTAAAAAAAATCAACACCGGGTCCACCCCTACAAGTTCTGATGTAACTGGGTGAAGTACAGCCAGGTAGTTTTTTTTTGTTGTTTGTTTTTTAAGAGTGGTCCATACATCCCACTGAGGAGTAGGAGGAAGTTCACAGAAGTTGTCTGTTGCCTACTTTTCCAAACAGTTATTCAAACCAGAACCTCAAAAACAGCCTCCTCACACAGCAAACCCTGCTCAGCCCGTCTTCTGTCTGAAACCCCTACCCAGAGAAGTGCAGTCAGTCTCAGGACGTCAACCCTCAAGAAGGACATCCTGCTTCCCTTTCAGCTAGTATCTCAAGAAAGGTTCTTAAGGAAAGCTTCTCTGGAAATCTCTGGCAGCATGTTCCCAGAGTTCAGAGACACTCAATAATTGGTCATTAAGTCAAAACTACTATTTAGTTCCTAGTGTGCCTGACATAGCTCAGGGACCAGATTATTAGAAGTTGACAAAATGAATAAAAGCTCGTTAGGCAAAAAAGTAATCTAGATTATTCATGTGCCCTGATCTGGGCCACATCTATAGGCCTGGTCTGAACTCAGGCCTACAGGATCCTAACTTACCTGGTGTAGCCAGAAGTGTGCCGCCTTTGGTAGACCTCTTTTTTAGGTGATGGGCTCTTACTTCGTTCCTTCTCTCTCCTATTTCCCTTAGAGTTGTGTCTATAATGGATACAGAACCCAAGAGGGAGAAAAGCCTGTTTAATACAGAGCTTATATTTTGTCCCTCAAACATTAGAATAAGGGCTAACAGCTTTAAAACTATAATCCAAATTAAGGAAAGTCAGGGACAGAAGTGAAAGAAAAAAACAAAGATATCAGAACCCATAAAATTTAACATTACCCTGACCTCAGAGATTCCACTAGCATATGGTAAAACCTACAAAAGTTAGAACCTAAAAAAAAAAAAAAAGAAGAACCTGTGTAAAGCAGAACTAGTTAGAGAAAACTCAAATATTTTCCACAGATAGTTATAGAGAAGGCTGTCAAAGGCCTGGAAAAGCAAAGCAGTCTTGTAACATTCCGACATTCACAAGTTTCACTTGTACCTATAGATACCTATAAATACATGGTTCCAGGGCTCTAAGTTTTAAGTTATATTTTAATAAAATAATTTGGAGGAAGTAAAAAGCAAAAACATTTGGAAAAGTTGATGAAGAGACAACACCAGAAGCCAATGCCAGCTGTAACCAGGTCCCCACATTCACAGGTTATTTCCTAGGGAGCGCCCACACTCACAGTTTGTTGGGCCTTGGGGACCTAGACCTCCTGTCCCGGGACCCTGCCTCCCTGGTGCTGCTCTTCTTGTTGACATGCCTGGGGGGTGAGTGGGAGGAGCTTCTGGACCTGGAGTGGTTCTTCAATCCATGCGTTCCCTTTGCCTCCGCCAGAAGAGGGCCATGCAGTCTCTGGCTATAGCTAGAGTCTCTGATCTGTAAAATTAAGGAAATGAATAAAAGTTATTCATTATACACACACACACACACACACTCTTTAAGAAAGCCCTATAGTCAGGATAAAATTTGGTGAAAGAAAATAAGCACCGAGGCTCTATGAGAAGCCACACAGGGAGACACCAACTCCCGAGTTACCCCAAGTATCATACAAAAGGGATTGTTAACTCTAGAATCCCCTAAAAAGATAGACCCACGCAGCCACCTAATGTGACTTCCTTGCTTGGCTCTTCAAAGCACCTGCATAAGGAGAAAGAGCCAGAAGTATGAAGGACAGGGCCGAAAGTTAAGGATACAGAGAATAATCTTAAAGAGAATACATATGCACTTTATAGAAATGAGAGTTGATGGGCACAATGTCTCCTTGCAAGTTTAGCCTCTCTGCTTAGAAGACCTTCAGGCATAGGAAGAGACTCAAGGAAAAGGAGTGAGGGCTGCCACATCATCAATCATGTGTGGCTGGCTACTGAAAATGCCCTACATCCAAAAAAGTCATCAAGCCTGCAGCCACGCCCCTTAGGAAGCCCCATCCCTACCTGTAAACCATATCCAGCAGCTTTGGACAAAACAGGAGCAGAATTGGCCATCTTCTTTTGTGATCTAAAAGATTAAAAACACATAGAGTCACTGAAAAAGGAATTGTAAAGTTTCAACTTAAATCTCATGCTGAAATATGCTCCCTACTTCAAATGTGACCTTTCCCACCCCTGACATGCTCACCTCCCCCAGCTGTTACTTGGGAGAGCTTTTCTCTATTTGGACTGTCTCTGTTAGGAAATGCATCACCACAGTCATGTTTTTCCTGTTAAAAACCGTGGGCTAGTTTCTCAGCCCCAGCCCCTGAATATATTCTCCTCTCACCTTCTGCTGCTATTCTGGGGACTAATAATGAGTCAGCAGCAACAACGATGACTGTTCCCACAGGGAAGACACAAAGGCCCATTAATTCAATAAAAGACCAAAAAGTAGACACAAACCCCACTTCAGTCCTAGAGGAATTACACGCAAGATGTCTAACCTAAGACCCTCATGCTAATATCAGTTCTGTTAGGGGTATCTTTACAGCAGCATGCCACCCACCCACATTTAACATCTTTTACGAAGTTCTGTGGGGCCTCTGTCTGAGCGTTCACCATTGAGACCCCACGGACTGGCAGTTCCCAGCATGCAGCAGGCGTTCACTTATTCTGGTGGCACCTGTGGAGGGAATGAGGGAGTGAAGCAATGGCGCGGGAGGCCCCTCTCCACATGCTCACCTCACCCGGCCGCGTTCGTCCTCGCTGCTGGACTGCTCACTGCTAGAGCTCCGGTGCTTGTGCTTCTTGTGCTTCTTCTTCTTCTCCTTCTTTTTCTTCTTCTCCTTTTTTTCCAGGCTCATTTGCAACTAGAAAATGCCCAGAACATGCCCATGGAAGATTCTTGAGACCTCCCTCTCAGTCTCCTCACAGTGGGGACTGACTACCTGTCTCGGGATCTTACTGGGGTTCAGGAGTTCCCTGCTCACATATGAAAGGGTGTCAACCTGGTTGTATGCAAACTCATCCTGGATGACTGAAGAGAATCTCTAGGGTGTATGATTAGAAATTTGTTTTCAAACAGTCCTCAGAACCACTGCCAAGGAGTGTCCCTTTTATGCCAGAGGAACTCCAACTCTCCTGAAAGCCAGGCTAGTGTTTAAATCTTCCATGCCAAACAGATTCAAAATATAATCTCCTACTATTTCACCTGAAGGCCTTAAGTAAAAAACCTAAGACTATCAGGTTGTTTCCAACTCATAGCGACCCTGTGGACAAAGTAGGATTTCCAAGACTGTAAATCTTTTTTTTTTTAAGACAGTAAATCCTTATGGAAGCCGACTGAGTTATCCTTCTCCCGAGGAGCAGTCAATGGGCTCAAACCCCGTCCCTTCTTGGGTAGCAGCCAAATTCTTTAACCACTGCATCACCAGGGCTCCCATGAAAGTCCTAGAGGTTTTTATATGCCACATCCGAGGACATACTTTAGTACTGTGAACATCCTATATGACCATGCTCTTTACACAAGTATATATCAGACTCCTCATTTTCTGGGGGGAGGGGAAAAATGGTTGCACAGAGGGTTTTACCCCTCAACCAAAAAACATAAAAGAAGAAATCTCTACTTTAATTAGGACTGTACAAATTAATCAGGAGATAATCTCCAACAGACAAAAAAGGAAAAGGCCATCCATTCATTCTATTTTCTCTCTTATAAAGTGAAAAAAAAATTATCTTATTAAGTAGCTGAAAACTCTCCCTGGCACTTATTCGATGCACTACTTACCAATTCTTTGATTTTCTTCATTTTCACAGGATTATTCAGTACTTCTCTTTTTTTCTCTTCTTCCTTCTTCCTAAAGAGAGGATACTATGAAAATCATGACTATTCTGCAACTAATTCACTGTACTCATCCCAAATCTATACATCAATATTGATTTCAAATACACATCCTGCACTGAAATCAGATATTGAGGAAGTCAGCAATCTTTCCCAAATCTGTGTAAGAGACTGAATTTGGAGGTTAGAGAGAAGTTCACACTAGTTTCCTATTGTGCAAGAAACAGAATATGAATTGCTTCTTAATAGGCCTAATAATTCTGTTTAGCATGATAACTGCTAGAAAACATGGAGGATTGCTTTTTAAAGATGTTTTACTCTAGGGACAGTGCAAGAGAGGAAGACTCTAGATGAGAGGGATTCATTCAGTGACTGGGGTAATGGTGGTAGGTGTGTCAGAGACAATAAGATTAGAACAGGATTAAGGCTATTGTACATAGGGTCGCTATGAGTCACAAGTGACTTGACAGCACATAACAACAACTGAGCAAGATATGTATAAATGGTCAAAAAAGGGAAGGAGAGAAGAGAGGTAGAAAATGGGGAAGGGGGAAAAACACTGGGATAGAAGAGGTGAGTGGGTGGCAGAGCGGGTGATGTAATGGTAAGGGGACCTGAAAAGATGGGGTGAGAACAGGCACACAGCAATGGTATATATTGTATATAAAATACAATGTATGTGAATGATTGTATAAAACACAAAGTACCTGTACAAAACATGATATATATCAATGATTATACACAAACTAATTTAAAAAAAAAAACAAACCACAAAACTGTAATATTCCACTAAAGAAAGGAAATACTGTCTACAAAGGTACATTTCTGTACCAGAGCAATATTACACCAGCCTTCGGGCCCTCTGCTGGAAAAGTAGAATCAAGTCTCAAACAATGCCTTTTTAATTGTATCCTCAAGGATTATAGATGTAGGACAGTACTGTATCAGAACCTCTGTGAATGTAAAATACCTTGTACCTGCTTTATGATATGCAATAGTGACCGTGCTATATAGGAGCTGTTTTTTGAATGATGTTACTCTAGAATGTTTTCTTTCCAGCTGGTAACTGAGAAGCTTAAAAAAAAATAAATTTGTGCCTGTACCACAATAGTAACAGGACTTTGCTATTTCCGAGGTTTTGTTTTGTACTTTAAAAAAAAATGGCATGTTTTGGAGTTTTATTTTATTCTTTTTTGTGGATGTGACTGGTACAGGAGGAGATCACATCTTTTCCAGCAGAGCACCTGGTGGATTCAAACCAGGTACCTCTGGGAATGCAGTGCAGCTTCTTGCCACTATGCCACCAGAGCTCCCTAACAGACACACAAATACTATTTGAATTTTTTGAAAATAGCTGTGCTGTCTGAAAAAAGTGTCCCAGTTGTACCATGCTAAGTTGGCATTGTACAGAAATTAAAAGCCATATTGGTCTAGTTAAATTTTTTCCCCCTATTTGTACAGGGGTAACACACTATGTAAGGTCTTAAGCACATGGGCTTGATTATAGTAACTAATAAAGTATTCTCTAAATTAAAAAAAACCTATAATTAGAAAACCTTAAAAAAATCTTACTTTCCTAGGCTGCTCATGGCAAACTGGTCAAACTTTCTGGAAAACTATTTGGCAACATTTATCACAGTTTATGTTTACTCTTTGATCTTCCAAATTTTATCTCTAGAATTTGGTACTGTAGGAAATAAGCAAAGTCACTACAAAGTTGTTTCTATTGTAACACTGACAGTTTAGGAATAAGCTAGGGAACCAATAAGAACATGGGCATTAAAAATGAAGCTACACAAGTATATTTGGTGCCATGGAAAATAGGAAGTTCTAAAATAATAAACACAGTACAACCCCCTAGCATCTCAGAAGCAGCTGTATTTTGATCTGTCATATATTAGGGTTCCAAGTGAGGTTCTAAAGTTTCTTTTTAAAAGATTCTGCTGTCGGCAAGCTCTGGTGGCCTAGTGGCAAAAAGCTGCACTGCAGTCCCAGAGGTGAGCAGTTCGAATGCAGCAGATGTTCTACTGAAGGAGGAGAGAAATCTCCTCCTGTACCAGTCAGATCTGATCTGACGGTACAAAAAAATAAAAAAATTCACACACACACACAGAGAAATTGTGGTGTCAGGAAAAAAGAAAAAACCAACCCAGAGAAAGGCCTATTCACTGATTTAACCAGATCAACACAATTTCCAAGTCACCAGCCTTTCTCCCTTGCTTCTACCTCTATTTCCATTTAAGAGCCAATGGTAAATGAACAACCTAGACTAGGCCAGTACCTATGCCAACATCATTTCATATGGCCTAGATCAGGAACCTCGTAATATAGACAGATAGATAGATAGATAGATAGATAGATAGATAGATAGATAGAGCCTCCTCCCCCAAATCAGAAAGCTCAAATTCTTTTGTATGGCAGATAAAATCCCAGAGAAAAATCAACTGTAAAAGCAGAGAATGAGTGGCCTCAACACGCTCCTAAAGCACTTCTGTGACAAAAACTGCCTTCCCTATCCCTCATTAATACCTGATAATGAAGAGCGGGTCCTCTCGGATTTTGCTGGCCATGTCAAGAAGAGAATTGGCACCAGATGGGGCAAAAATAGAACCTGGGAGAAGCCCAGTCTCAGAAGAACAACCTGCCTCCTTCTCTTCCATCTTCTCAAAGACATATTTGTCAATGGGGCGCCCCAGCAAGTACTCATCACGGTTCACCATTCCACCAGGACCCTGGTACATCCAGTCCAGTTTTTCTTCTTTTTTCCTGGTTCAAAGATAAACAAAAAAACCCACAAAATATTAATATGGTCAAAGAAAACAGACTCCTGAAAATCTAAACACAAAACCTGAACATGAGGGCAGATAAACAGAGCTGGTCACAGTACAACTCATCCTAATGGCATTTTCCAATAGCTAAGCCCAGATTCCACATGGCACAAAAGCCTGATTGCATGGGACATACGATTTAGTAAGAAAATTCTCACACATGACAAAGGAACAAGGAAAATTGTTTCTTCAATCTAGAGTAAGGGTCCTCAAGTTTTATTCAGAAAATCTTTGTTATGCTTTAATCTCAAGGGTAAACAAAAAAAAAATCATATTCTGAATCATCCTGTTATCAGAAGCAATTTCAGTGACCACATATATGCCGTCCTCTTGATTGTGTGTTTTGTTGCTGTCACTTGGTGCTAGTGGCATATCGGATAATGACAAGACACCAGAGATAAGCTAATAAGAAAATAATGCTTTAAAAGAAAATGAGAGCAGTAAATAATGTCATAATACCAAATAATTATCAGTGATTCTGAAAGAAAAAAGGGCTAAGAAAATTGAATTCTCATACAATAGGGTATCCAATCACACTGGCTAACTCATTTGCTGTCAAGTTGGAACCAACACATAATGGACCCCCAGGGGGTTTTAGAAGCTGTAAATCACACAGAGGAAACTGCCCATCTTTCTCTCTAAAAGCAGCGAGTGGGTTTGACTTGTCTGCCTTTGGGTTCACAGGTCAACTCCTTATCCAGAGCTCCTCACCAGAGCTCCCTCCACCTAGTAAGGGCATGCTGAATTTCTAAGAAGAGCATGTAGTTAAACAACCCCTATCATATTTATCATATTCGTGATAGAAGTAAGAATGTCATTTCAGCAAAACAACATAAAAAAAATCATCTATAACATTCATTTAAGTTACTTTTAAAATTTAATTTGTGTATTTGTTTTTGTCTTAAGGTTACACAGCACCTACAAGGATAAGGAATTTCTCCTTGTTGGTGTACTTAAATATTTTTCTTAAAAATAATTGACACCAACATTGGAGCGTCATGACCTTTTACTTTATTTTTCCCCTATTAAAATAAGCAATTTGATAAAAAAGACCATTTATAAGAAAAAGAAGAGTAAAATAAAAGTTAATTAAAAATAAAACAAAGCAAATGCTTATCTATAACTAAGAACTGATTGTGAAGGGCAGTCTACATCAGATCTTATGGAGGTCTGAGTGGAAAGAACAATGTTACTAGAACACTCTGGGAAGTTCATTTACCTGCGAGGCAGGATAGCACAATGGTTAAGAGCACAAGTTTGGAAGTCAGGCAACATGTGAGTACCAGCTCAAGGGCAGTTAAAGTCAAGTTATTTTTCTGAGTCTTGGTGTTCTCACCTGTAAAATTGAAATAAAATAGTATCCACCTCACAGGGTTGTAGGATTAAATAAATCAATGAATGTTTTTAACCCAGGTGAAATTCACACAGCATCAATCCATGGGTTTATGCTGGATTTTATTTTTACACACACAAAGCAATTTACAAGGAAAATTGCTAAAAAATTTGAAGTATTATAAAAAGTAAAAGGGTATACAATACGAAGTACTAAACAAATGTTAGCTGTTCTTTTTCTTATGCATGTATGTTTTTGGACCTTCCCAGAAAGCTTTAAACTCCTATTGGGCTGTAACCACGTTTTCTTCACCTGTAAATCCTTGACAGCTGTCTAATGACAGGTGAACCTGTGGTATGATAAGCAAAAGTGCATTGATCATATTCTCAATTTTTTACTTTCTAAGAACAATGGGTATGGAACCAGGTAGCAATTTCTTAAAGAAAAGCAGGTCTTAATGACACTCCTTCTCAAGGCTAAAACAGTACACATTACCTTGAAATTGCCTTGATTTAACTCTCCATCAGAAAGTTCTATAACTACACTATTTCTTCCCTCTTTTTGTTTTATAGCATTTACTGACTACTACTAAGTTTTGTTTTGTGTATTTCATGTGTTAATTTCAAGTTTCTGTCAAAGGTGATCTCAGAAGAATTTCTGCTGAGGTAGACATATTTTCCACAAATTCTCTCAATTTCTGTTTACCAGGAAATGTATTCATTTTGCTGTAATATCTGAGGGACAGTTTTACTGTGTATGTTACTTTTTTTTCAGTTCACAGTTTCTTTTTTCTTTTGATTAATTTATTATACTAGTTTCTTTACAAAATTCTAATACATTGTTTTCCAGAATAGGTTCTTCCAAGTTCTCTTACTCCTCTCCCCATCAAATTGAACAAAGCCATTATTAATCCCCCTCCTTCCCCTGCACATCCTCATCCTTCTGCTTCCACCCTCCCCCTCTTGGGTCTCTATACCCATTCTACAATAATGGTTTTATACATGTGAATGTTACTTATAGTTCGTGATTGTTTTCATTCAGAGTCTTGTATCTGTTATCCCATTGTCTTCTTGCCTGTATGGTTTCTGTTGAGAAATCAGAGCTTATTGGCTCTCCTCTCAGGTAATTTTTCATTTTTCCAGTGCTAATTTTGGTTTTGATCTTGGAGATTTTGATGAAGATCCGACGTTTCTTGGTGATTTTCTTTTGGTGTCTACGCTGTGTGCGGTTCACTCAGCTTTCTGAATGAATACTTTCTCATTTTTTTCCAGCAAATCTCCAATGATTTCCTTGGTGATTTTTTTTTTTGGGGGGGAGGAGGGGTCTCTTTCTGGTCAGAAATTTCAATCACATGGTAGTTATTCCTCCTGAAGGTGTCCCATATAATTCTTGGACTTTCTTTGTTTTCCTTCCTCCTTTTATCTGATTGATTTTCTAAAACATTAGTATTAAGAATCTATCTGGCATCTCACTAATTATTGTTCCATTGAATCAATTCTGCTCTTTTGTCCTCCCAATGTGTTAGCTAATTCTGAAATTTTTAGTCTTAATCTGAATTTCAATTTCTCGGTATTGTACATTTTCTAACTTTCCCTTTATTTTTATTTATTTGGGTCTGTATCGCTTTAACTCTTCTAGAATTCTTTGTTTTCCTTGATTTTGTCTGTAGTTCCCTCAAATTCTTTCTCAATCTGATGAAAGTACTTATGGTTCTTTTGAATTCCTTAAGTCTGGAAATTTAAATAGCATTTTATCTTCTGAAAGACGTTCTGGTTTGTATTTTGGCCACTTGCTTGCACATCTTTTCTAGGTTGTTTTTTTTTTTTTAGTAGTATAGACTTCTCCAGCACTGCAGGTGCTGGAGAAGAGTACTGAATGTACCATGGACTGCCAGGAAAACAAACAGATTCATCTTGGAGAGGATTAAACCAAGCTACTCCTTGGAGGCA